GAGTAAGAGGATTGATGAGTGTCAGTTTATGCTGTAGGATCGTTCGATTTGACTACGATGTTCCAGGAAAGGATTCTTACAAGTTTCGTGTTGAAACTCGACCATGATTTGTTTCAGAATTAGATTCGAGAGATTTATAATTTCGATAAGAAAATATATTTTTTCAAAAATTTGAACGCAATTATTATGGTCTCATTCTTCCTAAAAATTAAAAAAAAAAATGGCATGGAATTGGTTGATTCGATATCTTTATTTTTCGTGAAGAAACCAAGTCATTTCTAGTTAACGATTGGAAGATAAAAAGCAATCCAAACAAATAGATTGAAATGCATCGCTCAGCGAAATCTAGAAAAATTGAACGTTGGAAGAATCGACCGTGGATACGCACCTGCTGGCGACGAGAGAGAATCGTATTAACAAAAAGTTGAAATGTGTCACAACGTGGAAGGAATGACGGGTCAACCAGTCAACAAGGACATGTTGTGAGACACCACTTTACTCGCTAAACCGCACACGATCCAGTCTAACCTCTGTACTCAAACAGTACCAAAGAACGGAAGTTCGATCTGCGTGTCCTACCCGACCTGTTCACTAACCAACGACAAGCGTCCCGCGACTGTACCTCTACCAGATGTGTGGTAAACGCGAGTAGAGAACATCTTTTGTGCTTGAATATCGCATGGTATGCGCACGTAGAAAACTTCTTTGGTGCTAGAAAAGCACGTGAGCGCGTCTATGGACTTTCTTTTTGTCCTGTAATCCTGCTCGAGAAGGCACACGACAAATCTGTAAGTAACAACATGAAAATCTACGAAGCAGTACTTGTACAATTCGCTTGCTTATGAATGCATGCTAGTAAAATTAATCCTAGGAAGCTATTCTTGATTAACAACTACCTAGGAAAGTTACTAAGAGTGAGAACAGACTTGCTAGTTGTTGAAATTTCTTGTGTTACGCAGTATACTGTCTTGATATACTTTACTACTGGTGTATGTAATCATGCTATGGCAGTGGATGAGATGTTTATTTATCAACACTTTGGGTGCTGGATGGATGTCATCGCCCCATTGAGCATGTGTGATTCCTGGTGAATGATTGTGTGATCCTTCCTTTTTGAGAATAAGCAACAGAATCGAATACTGTCTAAGGTAAGCACGTAGATTGGTGGGTCCAGGCTTAGGATTGAACACCTTTAGAGGTTTGAGACCATTGGAATCATGAAGGGCGATCAGAGGGTGAGACAATATTATAACAAAATTGTGTGCGCACATAAGTAATTTACAGCACGACAATATTTAAAACACAAAATAAGAAACGAACTCAAAACATTTTAAAACAAAAGAATTGAGGATGACGGGTTATGACACCTACTCAAGAGTCCACTCCCGACTTCGACCAGCTCCTTACCTTAAAAAAATGGAGAATAAGGAATGAGTACAAAGACTTAGTATGTAGCCTACTTCTAGGCTCTCAATCGTATCGTTGATATGCTAGGATACCACACTCTTTCTTGTCTTGTTCTTGTTTCTTATTGTAAGTACTTAGGCCCACTTGTTCTTGATTTCGGGTTTTTATCGTGATTTATTCTAAGGACCTTGGTCCTTGGATTCTAAAACCTTTGTCATCCTTTAAGGGCCTTAGTACCATGGTTCTTGGTTCTTGGTTCTTGTACTTAGAACTAGGGTCTTGATCCATGTTCTAGATCTAGACCTTTCTCTTGTTCTTGGTACTTTCTAGGTATTTATTCTGTTATTGATTTATTCTCCAAGACACTCCCCCTAGGATTTACGGCACTAGCCAAATACCTGACAATTCTGTGTCCAAGGCTTGTTACTCAGTGGTAGATCGACTAGACGACATTGTGGACACGTCGTGTTTTAGGACATTAATCACAAGGCTAGGTAGTAGTTACCCTGCACGTAGGATCCGTCCTATGAAAAGCCGTTGATCATGTGAGTAACTTGTTTAGGTGGTATGTACCGAGGGGTAGCACTCCCTCACCATAGGTTACTTCATGGCCTGTGGGATAGGTTCACCAATTAACACTCCCATGGATGCAAGCAGACCAACACTCACCATGTTCTTCCCCACCTTGTACCATTGCGAAGGCTAAGTTTTCTACCCAGGTCTTTTGTATCAAGAGTGTGGAAACTCTAGGGACAAAAGTAAACAATTGGTTTCCTGCTAGGTTAAGGATGTGATGAGAGACTACAAGTAGGTTGCTTAATCGTGACGAGAGTTTAGAAGTAATAGAGGAATTATGGACCTAGGGAATCATGTATCTCGTTCCCCCTTCCCTCGTTAGATGAATTTGGCATATATTAATACACATTTTGATTTCTCTCTTATTTTATACACATTGATTGGCAAAATTTTTCCTAAAGATTCAAGATGTGACATGATGAAATCAAAACCCCATAATTGTTCTCCCAACAGGCATTGAGTAATTCTTGCGAAAGAAGTCTTGCACAATTCCTATTTGAAACTATAGTTCTAGAATTTTTTGAACTGTTCTATTCTACCTCACCTTAAAAGTTCAAAGGTCCTCGTAAAAAGTTTGAAAGTTCAACTTAAAAAAATAAATCGGGAATTTAGTACCTTGTTGGACTTGGGTGCTATACCATATGTAATCTATGAATTGCTTTCTCTATTTTATATTTTCTACAGGAAAGTATTCATATTTTGTTGTCCATTTTATGAAAGTGTTTTAAAAATAAATGAAATATTTATTATTCTTGGGCTAATAACTATTATCTATTCAAGGAATTTTGTTATTGAAAATCTAATAAATAACCGAAATTAGTTAAATGATTAAGTTTTTTACAACCATAACATGCATTTACATAGTTTCTTGCATGTACTATAAGTATATTTATTCACATGTCCAACACAAATGGGTAGTTAAGCTGAAGGTTTATTAGGAAATGATAAAGTATATTATCGTTTTCTTTTATTTCACGGTGGCTTAGTTGGGGCTCAGGTTCCAAGGGTCGCGTTACCACCACCAGGACCTTCTAGATATTACAATCATGTGGTTAACGGCTAAGCAAACTTGGGCTGCTTGTGCATTGTCAGTCTAAAGACTATGACTTGGGGTATCATGTTTGCTTAATCATGGAGATGATTACCAATGGAACTTCAAGGTTAACTTTTCGGGTACAACCCTCTATTGGTGCAAATTGGAGACGCCACATGCATGTCTCTTTTGAAAGCTTTTGGACTGAAATGCAGCACTTAAGGCTCTATGATAGGTACAAACATGGAACTGTAGGAACTTGTATTTGGCCGGCTAAAGATGATGGAATTTACTTGAGAAACTTTCTTGCTAATGTTGATGAATTGATTCACAAGTAGACATAAAAGATAGAGAAGCTTTATTATCTCCTTTTGGTGGAATTATCCTTAAGGAACAAATGAAAAATAATGGGATAACACAAAAAGGTTGTTGTTGTTTTTTTTTTTTTTTTCTTTTACTTTTTTTTTTGTATGAACGTGTATTGTTGGTCTCCAAAATTTTAAATTATGCGTGAATAAATTGTAGTTGGTGTGAGAGGTTGGCCAGGAGAGATGAGATTAGTAGGGTTTTTTTTCCCCTTTTTTTATTTTTATTTTTTTTATTGTTGTTACACCATATGCATGAGGTGACCATTTTATGCGGATCTATTCTTTAAAATAATTAATAAAATGATGTCATGGACTTATACGTTTGCATGAAGAGCCTTAAAATATAACAATGAAAAATATTCAATATGAAATATAAATGAAACCAAAGAAAAGATTAAAACAATGGTCTAATCTAACGTAATATCTAAGGAGTGAAAATGCAACTACACTAATAAAGATTCCGTAATCTTTAACGCGATGTCGTCGTCAACCATACATGGGTGTCTTGCCTCTACCTGAAATTTAAGCATAACACAAGGCTTGAGTATTTTAAGAAATACTCCTTAAGTGACCCAATATTGGGGTTGGTGAATGCAAACACATGCATAGATGAGACCTATAATTTTAAATTGTATTCTCTTCGCCGACTTTCCAATCAGAAAAAATTGGATATGTGGTACTTCTCTACACACGTCTTACATGTGCGAGCATGGGCCCACTAGGTGGGCTTGCGCACCCTCTGAGCCTACAGGTTGGACTAGCTCCTTTGGATAATCATTTTCGTCTCATAGTGTACACATCCATATTTCATCATAAAGGGGAAGTATCCCGGTGCACGTGAACATACAAATATGCTTGAGGTCCATATATTTTTCTTCGTGGCGTAATAAATCATGTAGGAAAATCCTCATTCTTTCATCACACATCACACTCAGTAATGTAACACGGCTAATATTCTTGCTTAAATTAGAGGCATCATCACATGAATGCCATAAATAACCTATGTGGAAGTTTGAAATAAAATATTTACAAATGAAGCCATGAACTTACACGTTTAATTTAAAATAAGAAAATAGAACTAACATAGTCTTTGAACATGAAAAATGAAATAATCATCCTATCAACTACTAAATGAAAATCAATGCATACTACTTCTCTATCATGATTTCTTCCATGGTAATTTCAGAATTCACTGTCACCTATGCCGGACCGCTTTACCTTTACGTGAAAAATAAGGGTAGCTTGTGGCTTGAATATTTTAAGAAATAGTAAATAAGTTACCCCATTGTTGGGATTAGTGATGCAATACACACATTTAATGATGGGACATATCCTTTAAAACTATGACTTAACCTTGGACTCTTTCCAATTCCAGACATGGTTGGATGGGTAAGGGCAAAAGCTCAATACATTAAAATAAACCCTAGGTTCAGACATGGTTGGATGTTAAAATAAACCCTAGGTTCAGCTACATAAACCCTAGCCCAAGCCCAATAAATTAAAAATTAAACCCTAGGCCCAAGCCCAATACAGTAAAAAAAAATAAACCCTAGGGCAGCCACCCATGTAATAGAGCACGAAGCCTGAGTCGAGGCAGCCACTCACAAACCCTAGCCGCTACCTTATTCTTCCTCTTTATCATCATCTTCTTCTTTAAATTGTCGTTCCCGTCCATCTCTCGCGCTGTCATACGTCACCATTGCCCACGTTGTCCCGCGCTGCCAAGACCAGTCACCGTCGCGCATCAAATTGTCGTCGCCAGAACCACTATTTGGAGGAGTAAAAGTAACCAAGGTATAATGCGCCAACCAACGAAGTTACAATGTGGTTTCTTTTCTAAATAGTTCGAATTTGACTCAACCTCTACGTAGGAAGAAGGTAAGCAATAAAACTCTATGATTTGTAGGAGTCGTTGTATCATGTCAAGTTGGGTTGGTTAAACTTGGGTGTTTAAATGTAGGCTCGATCTAAGTCGAAGTTGGACCAATATCTATAGGGTCGATTAGAAAAAAGCCCTCCAAGTAAGAGGTCTTCCTATTGAAACTTAACTGTTTTTTTTTTTTCTACAGGGGTTGAATATGTTTGGTATTGTATGGTTGAGTGTTGTGTGATACGATAGATGTTGACTATAAAAATAAATGTTTTAAGACCTATTGCATGCATAATTATGTTTGATGATTGAAAATATATCTGATATGAGTTGTGTGACATAATGTATGGATGCTCATGAAAATAAACAGTTTGGGACATAATGCATGCATGTTACCTTTGATGATTAAGGAGGCTGTGGTTAGGGTTACATGTTGGCTGTTTTGAGTGATCAGCCACTAATGGTCACTCTACGAGGTGATTTAAGAAAATGGTTATCAAGGTAAGGGTTACACGCAATGTGTTTCGGGTAACCAACCATTGATAATCATTTTAAGGAGTTAGGATGGATATTGATTTTCATGTGGTAAGGTTACACGCTGTGTGTATCGGGTAACCATGCACTAATGGTCACTCTACGGGGTGATTGCAGAAAATGATTAACAACGTAAAGGCAAGACACCTCTATATGGTTGATGACGACATTGCAAGTAAAGACCGATGAAGAAGGAAACTATGCTCGAGATAGTTGTAAGATTAAAAAAAAAACGGACAAGATCAACATAGGAACAAGGTCATTTCGCCCCTACTCCTACCTGAGGAGTCTGGATAGTTGAGTCATCACAAGAAAGCGAAAGAAAGGGGAGGAAAAGAAGAAGGGATAAGAAGAAGTTAGGATTTTGAAAGAAAAGAAGAACAGAGAAATCGGCTGCCTCAAATCTGCCGTTGGAGATCGAATCGAAGGCAAGAAACTTCAAATCAAGACTCCTCTTGGTGCTAGAAGAAGAGTTTGGGGAGTGGACTCGCCCATTCCGACTAGAAAATCCGAGAATGGACAAGGTAAGACTATGACCTTTTCATTTCGATTTTTCCTAGATCTAAGGAGTTTCTTGAACAATAGATCTGGAGTTTTGAGGTGTCTAATCAAAAGAGGATTCACACAGGTTTCTTGAAGAAATCTCGAACAAAAATTGGAGCTTGATTGGAATTCGGGTGAACTGGTCAAGAATAGAAAACGGGAGTTTTTCGGTATCTTTGAATGGATTTAATTCATTCTATATTCAAGAGAAGGGAGTTTTTCGGTATCTTTGAATGGATTTAATTCATTCTATATTCAAGAGAAAAATAAAAGAAAAATATGTCGATGTAGGTGAATAAAAAATTTACGACTTTGGTGAAGAAACCAAGTCAATCCAAGTTATGTGCGAAAAGTTACCAAAATCTGAACTTCGATGTAGGTGACTGAATTTGATAGGAATTTAGTATATGTAAATAGAGAGTTTTGAGAGATTTTCTCAATTTTTTTTTGAAGCCAACTTTCCAGGTAAGTTGATCACTCTATTTATATAGTCATATTTGCTTGTTCATCCAAATTTGAGATTACCAAATTTTGATATTAAAAATTTCCCTCAAATTTGTGGGATTCTGTGGCAAGCATGCAAGTTTAAGTTTATCAAGGTTTGACACTCAAAATTCCACTCAAATTTGTGGGATTATGTGACAAACATGCAAGTTTGGTTAAACCATATATTGACATTCAATATTCCACTAACTCAAATATGGATTCTTCGTTGAGGTGAAGTCAATTCAACAATTAATTTAAATAATTAATTTCAAATCAAAATATATTAAAGGTTTAATTAAATAATTTAATTAATATTTAACATTAAATAAAATGCCAATCCCAATGTACATATTGTTTATGAATCCCTCTTCATAATTAAAATATTTAAATCTTATTTAAATTTCTCCAATTATCTCTTTTTGTTTAATTCATAATTAAAACAAAATGTGGTTAAATATATATTATGTATATATTTAGCGTGTATTCCCTAATTTGAATTTGAATACTTTGAACTCACTCGTCACACTATTCTAAGGTTTAGTCCGATATGAGCTAGTAGAGGGACCTAATGGACCTATAGGTCATGGGATCCAACGATCCGAGATTAACCGGCTAAACTCATTAACCTTGTTAACAAAAATTCGTCAACTACTAGGACACTCCACTATAGCCTCCCCACTATAGATATATTTCTGTCCATTTGATATAACCATGATTAGTAAGTCAATCCTTCACAGGTTGTTCGTAACTAGAGGTGGGTCAATTTACCATTTTACCCCTAAAGTTACTTCTTGTTTCTTAAGTCCCACTGATCCTCTAATGAACAATTGGTTTGTGGTTCAACCACAAACCCGAATCCCTCTCGGGTCAATGAGAGGGTGGGGCCCCTTGTTCAAGACTTGGAGTCATTTCTTAAGGGAACAACCTCTCTACTATATCTAAAAGTGGGTAGGAGAGAGTTCCATCTTACACCCTATGTCCCCAATTATTCAACCAGTCTTACCCCTGGAATGGGACGCTTATTGAGTCGACGAAATCGGGCCACTCTCACCCATGCAAATCTAAGGATAATTCTGAATAAACAGGAGTTCATAGTTAGCTCACGATTAAGATCGAGTTACCTAGGTCATCGAGTGAAAAAATCAGTCTCAACAGTAAACAACATTATAATGATGATACATTATAACATGATGATATAAGTTGCTTGATTATGAGATGACTTAATATGATGATATTCCATATTAAGTTGATGTAGATGTATTAGATGCCACGATGTATTATGACGACAGGTTTTCTAAGACACGATGTATGATGATGAACGTATGAAGGCCAATGCATGCATGTTACCTATGGTAATGTGTGAATGATGTATCGGGCTGTGTCATAAAATAATTTAAAGATGAAATCTATAGGGATCTCATGCATATTTTAGTCATATACATCAGGTTACTTTCTCATTTATGATGATGAGTATGGACGCGTACACTACGATGATGATCATCATGATCATGCCTCGTATGATACTCGAGGGTCTGCTAACGTCCAAATAATCAGTTACGGACAACTAGCCCGACTATGATGGGTCTATGGGTATGAACTGCTTGGAGACTCACGTTCGCACGTGTGGGTCATGTGTAGGAAAGTACTACACATCTAATCATGGGTTACATGTGTTAGCATTACCAGACTCCAATAGTGGGGTCACTTACTGAGTATTTCTTAAAATACTAAAACCGTGTGCTACATTTATTTTAGGTAAAGGCAAGACACCTCTATACGGTTGATGACGACATTGCAAGTACAGACTGTGACACATGCATAGGATAGTGGTCATTGGATAAGGTTAAGTAGGTAAACCAAGAGATGATATAAAATGACCATAATACCCCTAAGGTAATTTACCTTTGGTTCATGAACTAGATAACCTCCAAATATTATGAAACTCTGTCCATTGAAAAGCATGAAACCTTGGACAAAGGTTGTCAGGTTCATGACTAGTACTGTAAATCTTAGGGGGAGTGTCTTGGAGAACGAACCTGAGGAGAACAAGAACCTAGAAAGTACCAAGAACAAGACAAAGATCAA